AATTACTGATCGCTTTAGTCTTCAAATTAGAACCGATTCGACCTAATCACCTGTAATAAAATCATCTACCATACCACAAATCAACACTTTGCAAAATAACCACAGATTTCAATCCCATTGTCGAAATTGACATTCTCATCACCAAACACTTTCAAAATGCTGTATTTCGTGACACTTTTATGGACAGAATATTTCCTAATTTGACATATTTCGAAATACTCGCACGCAATCATCATACTACTTAAATGAATGATATGAGCGACGATGTAGTCATTCACTGCAAATTCATTTATTCATCGAGCAGTAATCATTCATTGATTAGGTGTAGTCGGTACAGGGATCATCAGTCACACACACTTACAGGCACACGCACACACGAACAGACACCCTCACGCATACGATGTCACTTACACACGCAAACACACAGATGTTTCAACATTTTCACTCCCGAATGGAGTGAATTCGGGTGTATCCTTCTCAAAAATTGGTGAGATGGTACTTGAAAATGAAGGAAGGTAGGAAAGAGGGAAGCAGGCACTATGATTAATCAGTTGAAGTTATTAACATCACAAATCCCTTCTTCTTATGGCTACATTTTCAGTGTCAAGATGATCTTATCTGTGTGGCTATTTAGTTTGCTGTTTCTGCATGAGAATTATGCCTTCAAATTTATATACATGGTAAAATCCAATCGATCCAAAAGTTTACGTTTTCAGCACTTATGCATAGCCGAAGCTTTAGCTATACATGAACAGAAACCTATATTATGTTTTAAAAGCGTTCTGTCAAACCCCTTTCTTTACCTTGGTCATAATAATTTTCTTTCTAGTTTTTGTTTTATTTTACCACTTGAATTCTTTCCACTTCACTTCACATCTTCATTCTTATCGTAATCGTACTCCTAATTTTCATAATTTTTTAGACAACACTTGACATTTTTGTTATAGAATAATCTTTCATATGTTTGTAATTTATCCACTTCAACTCTACCCCTTATAACTTTTATCACATATATACGTACATTGACTGAGCAATTATTTAGTGCCACTTAATAACATTTTTCTGTAATATAAATACGACTGTACAGCTTGAAAATGAAGTCGTTGAAAAGAAATTTCTTCGCTGAACAAAAACTGTGTTTTTACTTATGAATAAATGGGTATTTTTCGAGATAGTCATACTTATGGAAAATTCCCATTGTAACATTTAGAAAATCAAAACAAGTGATTCAGCGAAGAGACTCTTCTCGACGAATTTATCATCAAGCTGTACAATCGCATATATATCGTTTTTAAGAAGTTATATCCGGTGAGGGAATTGAATCTTCGGTGTGAATGCACAAAATAATAATAATAATAATAATAATAATAATAATAATATGAAGTTCAATTAAAACTAAAATGTTTGTGATTATAATCGTAGTTAAATGTCAAGTGGCAAAGCAGATTTGTTTGTTGGTGACCACATTGACATAATCATTAAACGTCTGACGTTAAGTCATATAGAGCAGAAGATCTTTGTGATATATTCCTTTCTAGCTCAGGGATACGTGAACTGATAGACTCAATGTGATTCAATGCGTGTCTCTTGAGAGATTTTGCATTAGGATATATGTGATTGCGTCGGAGCACTTTCCAATACCATTTCGGGTACTCATGATTATTGATGCATTCATTAAGAAAACAAATCTCTGCATTCACCACGGCAAGTTTGACAGAATAACGCAGGAACCCGTTGAGTTCCTTTACTGTCAAGGGATCTTTGCTTGGTAAAATTCCCAATTGTCTAACAAATGTTTTATGGCTGTTCACCCACACACACACATACACACACATACACACACAGACACCATTGTATACTGCATATACATACACATTTTAACAAAAGTAGACAAATTTTGAAAGTCTGAGGTCAAAAAATCTTTGTTCACAGTTCATACAATTTTTGTTTTGTTTTGTTTGGTATACCCATTGATAGCTGTTTCTTGATTCATATGACAGGACAGACAAACAATTTACAACAAGAGATGTACTTTTAAATATAAACATACAATTTTATTTATTTATTATACATGTTGATACCTGTTGCATGGCTCATGATTGGACAGTTTTAAAAAACAAGACATGTTCCTTTTATATAAAAAAAACCTCTGTTATGTTAATTCCGATTTATTTCCCTGAAGAAGTTCGGACCAGATAGCCGGACGAAACGTTGGAATTAATCATTTGAATTTCGTTGAGATTTTACAAATATAACTTTATAAATTTCTCTTCACGTTATAACAATTAGGAGAATATGAAAGTGGTTGGCGTTACAATGATGATAGTCAGTTACGTGGTGGACATATTTTTTATCGTAGAATAACAGGTTAGTTATGGGGATGTCAAAATAAATAGTCGTATTTGTGTGACAAACATTCTCTGGGCTGAAATTGATCACAAAATATTGTGAAATGTGAGACAATGGTGGTGATTAGTCATAATTGATTGGTGCAATGTGGGGTAGGAAAAAATGACAAGTCAGTTCAGAGCTATCTCTTATCTCAATATGCGCGTATGCCTTCACCTGTTTCATTTCAAACATTGGTTATTGCATGATGGACGTCGTATTGCAGTCCTACCATCCCAGCTTGAACACACACTACTCTTCACCAACCAGTCATCTGACATCTTTTGTAACCTTGAATTGACTGGTCAGTTTTTCATACCCATCATTCCCCGCATATATTACGACTAATCAGCGTCAACTTTCGAAATCGGGAGACTATAATTGTTATGATTATGAACAATAAATTGTGTTCGAGACATTCTCATCCAGTAAATCATACTGTTTCCCTGTGTGATGTATCTAATATCAGGACAAGACATACAAGCGAATAATATTGTTTTCAATTAGATCTTCTTCAGGCTTTACTCATTCAAATATATTTATATGTAAAAAGTTTAACCAATAACGGTGATTTTGTGAATCAAATGATACTTATAATAATAATAATACTGACAATGATAATGTTAATACTAATGTGGTGAGTGTTTTGAACGTTGTTAATAACGATGATTGTAATGATAAGAAAATACTGATAATAAGGTTGATTAAGAACACGATATTCAGCGAAGAGACTCTTTTCAATGCATTTATTATCAAGCTGTACAATCGTATGTATATGGTTTTATAAAGAAATTATATCCGGTGAGGGAATTAGATCGAAGGTGTGAATACATGAAATAGCAATAATAATAATAAAAGTAGTAGCAGTAGTAGTATGAAATATAATTAAAATATTTGTGATGATAATCATAATTGAATTTCAAGTAGCAAAACACCAAATGTCATATACAGAATAATACATAAGGTGTATAGATGTTGGAAAGGGGCGTATGATTAAAGGACTAGTAGGCGAATATAAAATATTACATAATATGATGTGAAATTCGATACGGTAGAATTCAATATTGTGCAGACAACAAACATTATGATTTTGGATTTAGAGTGACAAATGTAACAAGCTGAAACAATTCAGAGTGAGAATGGTAATAATAGTGATAATAGTAATCGTATTAATAAGGGAACGGTACATAGAATAACTAAATGAACGAAATAAATAAATAAATGTCTATCCCTCTACGGCCAAGTCAGAAGTAGGGATTTTACATACTTTTAAACACAAAGGTGTGGCTTAAAGTCATGAAGTGACGAGGCCTCCGCTGTCTTTAGAAGTCTGTAACGAAGAGAAACGCGGCCAGAAAGTTAGCATGTAGTCGGTAGATGATGATCTTAAAATCATGGTCAGAGTTGGCAGAGTGATGGGAGTCGGTCAGGTGTTCTGGTATACAGCTTCGTACACAATTCCTTTCTCTCTTGTAAAACCAAACCATTCAGCTGGAATATGTTCTCGTTTCCGTGTGGAAAGCGTCCTCTGACTACGATCAAGAGCTCAACAAGAGCAGGTGAATCGATAGATTCACATGGAGGTGGCCAGACGGGGGAGCTTGTCTTTTACAGAGATGGAGAACAACCCGCGGATGGTGAGCGTCATTTGTAATTTTGTCGCAAACAACGTCTTACTGATAGCTTCAGAGAGACCGTTGTTGAGCATGTCTGAAGCTTGATCACCTTTGAATTCCAAGTTCATGAATCAGGTTTTCTTTGGAACTGAGTCGGTGACCAGTTTCAACTGCTTATCTTTCATGTTACTGTCAATAAATCGGTTCGGGTAAGCGTTTTCTGCGAGCGTGGCTTTTAACAAGTCAAGTTCTGTGTCGACGAAATCAGAACCACAAATGTTTCTTGTCCTAAAACAGAGTGAATCAATTAGGTTCCTTATCCTGGAGATAGGCACCCAACTATGAAATTTAGTTAGTTGTCCATCCCATGTACGTTTTCGGTGGATGGATCTTTTGAGAGATCCGTCTTTGCGTCTGATAAGGCACACATCAAGTAAAAGAGTACTTAGTTCAATTTCCTTTTTTATGGTGAATTGTAAAGAACGATGACAGTTTTTGAAAGCAAACAAGACGACATCCTGCGCTTCTGCACCTCCTCACACACACACAACTTCCTTCAAATATTGACTTTCAGCCGAAATCACTCAGTGATTTGCAATGAACTTCGATATGCATTCACCGCTAACAGCATATCAATTCTCTGTATATCAGTTAAATCTAGTCATTTCCACAGTAGAAACTGATGTATACGAGGTGATTGAAATAACTGGTTCATGTGACCATTG